AGTGATAGCTAATGGATGGATAGTACTACTGGTAGTAGTCCTGCAGTAGCAGCAGTAATAATAACCACTGTGCTAATAATAGTAGCAGTAGTGAGAGTATTACCTTGCAGGTGGTCCTCAGGTGGTTCTGGTTGTGGTTCTGGTTCCAGCAGGTTCAGGTAGAAGTACTGCTGCCTGGTTATTCTGTCTGTCACGGTGAACTGTGTGAGCGCCAGCTGAGCCTAAACACAACAGTCACATGTTACCACAGCAGTGTTTCTGGACCAATCACAGCCGTGTTATCTGTCAGTAGGCAGGACAGCATTACCATTGGACTCATCTGACCAATCAGAGCAGTTATACAGAGCTGTCCGTCAGCGTCCTTCATCCCTGCATCCGCCCCGAGCTCCAGCAGCAGGCGAGCTGCTTCACTGCGCCCTGACAACACAAGGAGTCAGAGGTGGCTTCAGAAGTGATGTCAGAGGTGGCTTCAGAAGTGATGTCAGAGGGGACCTCGGCAGTACCGAGGTTGGCGGCGAGCTGCAGCGGCGTCCTAAGTTTGTAGTCGGTGCAGCTGATGGCGGCTCCGGCCTGCAGCAGCAGCCTGATGGATCCCACGGCGTCGTTCTTGGCAGCATAGTGAAGTGGTGTCTGCTGGTCCAGGCGAGTCCGAGCCTCCAGGTCGGCTGACCGAAACACACAGACACACAAACGTCGGACCACCTGAAGCTCATGACAGCGCTCTGCTGGCACCTATGCTCACCTTTCTGGTCCAACAGGAACTGCACCATGTCCTGGTAGTCCAGGGCCGCAGCCACATGCAGCGCTGTGACACCGAACTGATCCGGGCGAAGGAGGTCAGAACCGCGGCCCAAGAAGAACCGCATCACATCCACACTCCACGCCCTGGAGATCTGAACACACCTGTTGTATCACACTGACTGCACAGGTACCATACAGGTGAACAGCTGAAAGCATTCATGAAGTTCCTATTCTTGTAATCCTGCTCTCTGATTGGTCAATGTGCTGCTTACCTCGTGCAGGACGGTTTGTCCAAATCTGTCTGAACTGTTTGGATCGGCTCCACCTGAGATGACCTCATCGAGGAACTGAAGGTCCACCTGAACACAATCGACACACAACAACACACAACAACACACAACAAACAAACAGATGTTAGCTGGTCAGTGTTACTTGGTCAGTGTTACCTGGTCAGCGTTACCTGGTCAGCGTTACCTGGTCAGCGTTACCTGGTCAGTGTTACCTGGTCAGCGTTACCTGGTCAGCGTTACCTGGTCAGTGTCCTGGTTGGTCACAGCCAGGTGTCGGAAGTGATCCAGCAGTTGTTTATTCAGTTGCTGGTTTTTGTTCGTGGTGTCTGTTTCGTCTCTCTGGTCTTCGTCACCGTTATCATCCTCAGCCAGACCGCTGTACTTGGACTCCACCTGAACACCTGAACGTAAATCAGTCATGAAGACACAAACTAAACCTGCTGAGTGGACTGACAGAAATCACCTGTACTCACCTGTCAGCTTTCTTCGTCTCTGCTTCCATCGACTGCACGAGTATGACGTCCACCAAGCTGCAGCCTTAACTGCTGCTGACACCGGGGACCTGGACACNGTCCAGGTGACCTGCAGTCAGGTAAGTTTCCTGACAGTCTGAAGGTGGGTGTGGTCAGAGGTGTCGTGTTTCCTACCTGAGGCCACATGGGATGTGAGCAGCGCAGATCGTCATGGAGACGACGCTTTGCCCAGCGACGCCAGAGGCGGAGCTTCCTCCTCGACTGCCAGATGTCACGGAGCTCCCTGAGCACCTCCTCCAGGGTCAGCAGCAGCGCCAGGACGACGACGAGGACACGCCACCAGTCCTGAGACAGACAGGTGAGACAGAAGAGATGAGGAAGACAAGTCCTGACCAGTCCTGAGATAGACAGGTGAGACAGACAGATCACCTGGGGGAGGACATAGCGATCAGGTGAGTCTCGGCGGACAGACACAGAGATGGCAACAGTTGTCCAGGAAATGTTGAACAGGAAGTTGAGTAAAAGGAGAAGCCATGCCCCCAATCTGTTACAGGACAGACAGGTAGAGACAGACAGGTGTAGCAGCAACATGTCACCTGAGAGTGCTGATGTCACAGAAATCCAGCCAATCAGAGCGAGTTTACCTGCCGTAGAGTTTCCATTTGACCTCAATCAGCTTGAGGAAGACGGGATTCATGATGAGGTCCAGCTTCCCTTCCTGGACCACCACCTGCAGCTGTGACACAAATTCACTGTCTTCTGTAAACTGTAAACTGTAATCTGTGAACTGTGAACTATAATCTGTAAACAGAATGGAATAGAAATACTTATTAATCCCCAAGGGGAAACATGGTTGTTGCAACACAAAGATAAAGTAACGACCACCATAAATACCAATAAATAAGCAAAAATAAAAAAAACAAGTAGAAACGTCCCGTGTGAAGTGTAGTGCAAATAATGTGCAACAAAACAAGAGGAGAACAGAAGTGTTCAAAGGCAACATCGTAAACATTAAACTACAAACTTCCAAATTAACTACGAAAACTTACCGGAGTTGTCGGCTCACTGACCACTGCTTCTACAAAAGACAAGGAGGGACCACAGTTCTGTATCAGGTACAACGCTCAATAGAACACCATCAGCAGTGACACTAGTGGTACTAGTACTACTGTGGTACTGCAGAAGTACTGCAGTAGTGACCAGTGGACCAAACCAACGGAACCAGTTAACCTGCAGTAGTACTGAAGTAGCAGCAATAATAGCAGTACTAGTACTCCTAAGGGCTGCAGGTGTCTCAGTGGTTAGCATCGTGGCCTCACAGCTAGAAGGTCGCCGGTTGGCGTCCCGGTGAGGACACCCGGGATCTTCCTGCGTGGAGTCTCCATGTTCTCCCCGTGCAGCGTGGGTTCTCTCC